TTCAACACTGGAGTAAGAGAACCTGAGTTCACAGCTCTCATCTCTTCCAGATGGAAGAGTTGTATGTTGTATGTGGTAAGTCACTTAATTTCCCTGAGACTCAGTTTCCTCATATGTAAAATGAGGGGGTTGGATTAGATGACTTCTGAGGTCCTTTCCAACTCTAAGTCTATGATTGTATAAGGATCTATAGTTTTGTATGACCAGGGAAATCCTGGAACGAGAACTCCTTCTACCTGAAGCTTATGGACTTAGTACCTAAGTCCTAAAGAATTGGGTAGGGTAAGTGACCTGCTCAGAGTCACAGAGCTAGTAAGTGTCAGAGGCAGAATTTGAACTTAGGTCTTCCTGCCACCAAACCCAGTGTCCTGTACACTAACACCCTACTGGCTTCATGTTCTCACTAATTCTCTCTTTCTCTCTCCTACTGAACCTCTCTTTCCATTAATGCTGAAAGATCTTGATGGACTTTCTCTAGCAATGCTAATTTGCACCTTCTCAGCAATTTATGGTTTCAGAGAGTTGTCCAGAGGGCATTGAAGCAGTTAAGACTTAGCAGAGCTCGTATTAGTCAAGAGGCTCACATAACACAGGTGGCAGAGGCAGATTGAACCCTGGTCTTCCTGACAGGATGCCAGCTCTCTACAGTACAAGGTTGCTTCTCTTTCTTGGACCAATACAGTATACCAAATCTGCACAAACCTGCAAGTGATGAGCACCCAACTTGTGCATATGCATCACAGGTTTGCACATTGCTGCATATTCTCCCCCTATCCAGTGAAACTACCCCATGAACTTTATTGTCTTGGCCTTCTTTAGGGATTGGAAATGAGAAGTTAAGAAGAGCTAAGTTAGATCTAACCACAGCTCTCATAATTACTTACTTCTCCAATTCTATTGAATGCTGAGCGTGGGTCCTGAGCTGTACAAATCACGGGTCCAGACCAACAAATCTTCTCTTAAACACCCCCACACACCACAATACAGCACAAGCAGAAGTGATGGGATACCACAAGCATTGCACCTCTTGGCCTCAGCCACTCTCTTCCGCTGCATCTGCTCCCCACAACCTTCACTGATTTGCCTAATGTGTCATCTCCATTCTGTGTTCTCTCACTCCCAAGAATGTGTTTCCACATACCATCAGATCATAACACACCAGACCCCTTTCTTCTTTCCAATATCCCTAAATATTCTGGAAGAAATGGTGATATAACCAGCCATTCCTCAGTTCAGTTGTTCCTCTTAGAGAGGAACATTCAAAGGAAACTTTCCCTATGGGTTTCATACCTCTGTTCCATCTTCCATCCTTGAAATGTTGATACCAGGACAATATTGCCCCCCCTCCAAAAAAAAGCTCATCCTCACACATTTTGTTCCCAAAGGAATTGTTGACTCTTCTACCTCACTGTGCCACTCAGGTGAAGAACCAGAGAGGAGTTCCATAGATACTTATTCACTATTTTCTTCTAGTCTAGTGAATCTAAATAGGAAAACAACACCACACAACACAAAGCAAAAAACCAAAAAATTAATCCAACAAGCTCTGATAGGTTATCCCAGTGCTTCTCTGACCATTGTTTGGATCTTTCCTTCTGCAGTTCTTCCATAAATTTCTTTCAGAAGGTAGCCAAGGGGGTCAGCTATGTGGTACAGTGGATAGAGTACCAGCTCTGAAGTCAGGAGGACCTGCGTTCAAATCCAGCCTCAGACCAAACACTTGACACTCACTAGCTGTATGACACCAGGCAAGTCACTTAACCCCAGTTGCCTAAAAAAAGAAAAAAAAAGGTCATTACAGTTATTTCTTTCGGCTAGGCAATGGGGTTAATGGCTAGCCCAAGGTCACACAGCTAGTTAAGTGTCAAGTGTCTCAGTCTGGATTTGAACTCAGGTCCTCCTGACTCCAGGGCCAGTGCTCTATCCACTGAACCACCTAGCTGCCCTACATTATATTTATTTCCCCTGAACTCTTATTCTTAGGGCCACTTCATTCAAAGTAGATCTAAAAGATAAGGAGCTAAACTGTCTCATAGGTATGCCAGGGGCATGTGGGCAAATGTTAAAAAACCAGTTGTCTGAAAAGGCAGGTCATGCTTCTAAATTTAATGTGCATTATTAACATATTCTTTATCACTTTTTTTTTTTTTGCTTTTTGGTGAGGCGATCAGGGTTAAGTGACTTCCCCAGGTCACATAGCTAGTAAGTGTTAAATGTCTGAGGCTGGATTTGTACTCAGGTCCTCCTGACTGCAGGGCCAGAGCTCTATCTACCTTGTTGCCCCTATCACTTTCTTAAGGATTAGATCCAAACCACCAGGTCCTCTCCCACTTAATAAAAGGATTTGTTCTGTGAAGTTTGGATTCCATCAAAGGGCCTCACTTGAGGACCTAGAGGGCCACATATGGCCTTGAGGCTGCAGGTTCCCCTCTCTTGGTAAACAATCAAAGAAACACCAAGTCAAACTCTGATTTATAGAATTTGCTGATTTCCAAGTTGCAAATGATCACAATGAGCCTTTTTGAGCACTCTCCAGCATACCTCTGAGAGTGAACATCCCTGAGTTTGTCAAACAAGGTACCTATTACCAATTTCTCAACTGTGGTGGGATTATGGGACCTGAACCCCTAAAAGGAAAAGACCATGTCTTTGCAACCCAGCCCTGGAACAAGTCTCTGGTGTTCACCTGAGGCATCTGGCCCATCCCAGTCTACCTAGATACTCAATAATCCTTTTAACTGTCCTTTCATTGTGACTCTACCACTTAACTCCTTTCATCTATCTACACCTGGCCTACTCCTTAATCCTGTCCAGATCTTCCCACAGTCTTTTTTGTATAAAATATCAATCTTACCCCCATTAAATTGCAAAGACTCACTATGAATCTTGCCTGCTTCTATTGTCAACACAATAAACTCCAATACTCTGACTGAAAGAAGGCTTGAGTGGTCAAATTCTTTTGAGGCAGATCAGCCCCATCCTTCTGCATTTCAGGGTTCTCAGTCCCCCAATCTGCATCCACTATACAATTACAACAGCCTTCTAACTGAACTCTTTGCCTTTAATATCCCTCCTTTCCATTCCACAGTCCACATACATGTTCAAGTTTTGTTACTAAAGCATAGGTCTGACCATGGCACTCCCCTGCCTCTACAGGGTTTCTTAACTTTTTTGTGTGTCATGGACCACTTTGGTCCATATGGTCAGAAGCTCTAGACCTCTCCTCAGCATAATGTTTTTAAACACATAAAATGAAACACATGGGATTACAAAGGAAATGAATTACATCAAAATTATTGTCAAAAATATGTATTTTTAAAAAATATAGACCTTAGGAAAAGAACCTCAGATCTAGGATCAAATGAGAATTTCTTTGGTATTTAAAGTCCTTCACCATTTGGTCTACCTATTCAAACTATTACAATTACTTCCCTTTGTGCTTTTGATTGCACAGCCGAACAGGCCTACTTCACAAGAGGCATTCAATCTCTTGGTCCTGTGCCTTGGCCCAAGACTGTCCTCTGCCTCTTACAATCTATAGCTTCCTTGAAAGTTTAGCTCAAAAGCCACCTCCTACATTCGACTTTTCCCTGATTCTTCTAGTTGCTAGTGCCTCCATGCCCTTGGAATTACCTTATATTAAACTTATATTTATTTGTTATATATTTTGAATCAGATCATATTTTGTATCCCTTGATAGAATGTATACCTCTTGAGGGGAAGAGCTATTTCTTTGTATCCCCTGGTATATGATAGGTGCTTAATAAATGCTTATTGGTTGAATGATTGATTGATTGGCAATTTATATTTGGACTAACGGTGTGATCAGAAGGAATCTGTAACTCGTTGCTGGGAATTATAAGGTCCAGGGTTTAAAAATCTCTTTATTTTCTGGCTTAAAAGAAGACACCTGGATTCTTATATGTGCTTCTGCATTTAATCTCTTGGGATATGTTGTTTTGGTTGAAAGAAATCCAGCCTGACACAGATAAGTAGTTGAAAAGGGAGGAATATTTTAATTGGCAAATGATATTTTAGAATTACTAAGAAAATAGTTTTGACCCCAAGGACTCTATGAAAAAGTCTTAGGGACTCCCAGGAGTTTTTGGGCCACACATTGAGAGTTGCTGCTCTAGAGGACAGAGCCTACACAGCCCCCTAATTTTGATTCATGGAGACCCTCAAAAGGCTGAGGCAACTTGTCCCCTCTGGGGCAGAGGTGTTCACAACAGCTGTCAGCAGACCTTCACCAACTCAATTCATTTGTTTGGGAATCCATTCTCGTATTGATTCCAATTTCCTTCTGGTTCTTGCCTCACCATTCCTAGCTTCAGACCTCTATCTCACCTGTTCACTTTACCTATGCTGGATTGTGTCCCGTTTAATTTTGGTTTTCGAATTTTCTGGTTCAGTCTTGGATCTGCCAGGATACACTCTGCTCTATTCACACAACATGTTATCATCTGCCCTCATCCATAGCCAAGCTTCAGTTCCTGTTTATCCTGCCCTAACTTGAATTCTTATTTGTGCAGAACTTATTTCTTAACTGACCAAGCCCTGCCTCTAACTATACCTGCCTGCCTTGTACCTGGATGACTTTAATCTGGATTATCTGGTGACTACCAGTTTTAGCTGTAAAGAAATGCCACAACTGCCTCCAGCTGCCACCCTACCTTTGCTTTGACTTCGTAAACATCCCAGCCTTCATAGATGGCCTCAGTACCCAGCCACTGCCCAAAGCAGACATTGGCCTCAGAACCCAATCAACATTTTATAAAATGTTTCTGTGGGAAAATGTTTTTTAGCTTTAAACAATAAACTTAAAAACAAACATTTGGACCGAAGTCTTCCTCTGCCCTTTTCTGCCCCCTGATAATGTCCTCCATCACACCTCACCTACATTCTCTTTTTTAACTCTTTAATGAATTTATTATGTGATGTATATTTTGTAACCAACAGGTGTCACTGTGAGGCAAAGGTCTTAGTTGCCTTAAAGAAACTGAAAATGAAACAGCGCTCAGGTTTCTCTCTCCCACCGTAGAAATTTCGATCAGCTCCTAATGCAGAATATTCACTCTTTGAAACCACTTCTGTCTTTGGAAGCCCTGGGTCATGAACTTTTTTTGGTTTATACGCTATTCCTGACCTTCCTCTTCAGAAGCAGGAATTTCCCAGCGGGGACCCACACGTCCAGAGGCCTTGATTGGTTGTAACAAAAGTTCCAGTTCTTGCCTAAGGTAAAGAAAAACCCCATTTATTTTAGTTCTGCTTTTAGGGAAGTTTATAAAAAGTAATTAATAAAAAATAATTACTGTAAGATCATCTCACATATTCAGCTCTAGAATCATACAGTTAGGGAAAAACCCAAATATTTTGGACAGATATTTAAATCTCTGACCTTATTAAATTCAGGTTACTCACTGATAGAAATTAAATTCAGTTACTGAGTTTCTCCATTTTGCTATCCTTGACACTGAATTAACATATATAAATACGCATCACAAAGCAGTTATGATTGACCAAAGATATTTTTATATGAAAAAAAAAATCAGGAGATAGAAACAACTTTTTAAAATGGTAAGAAACATGATATAGATGCACCTGTGTTGAAGCAGGCATTGGTAGAAAAGATTGGGAGAGAGTTAAATCTTTTTGCAACTTCTCCACTTTTCAAAGGACCGCTGAAACTGATTGCCTCTGGTTAGGTTCCATAAGGCAAATGCTTAGCTGATGAAACCATACTACCACATTTTGTACCTAGTGCCTGAATTCACAGTGCAAAATACCTCCAGTGTGACTTCATCATCCTCACACTGCTACTGCTTTATTTGTTTTAAAATTTTGCTCTATCACCTAAGCTTTATTAAAAAATTTTGGCATGACCAAACTCCACCCCTCTCCCCACCTACCTACTCATAATAATCTTTCAATCTCTCTTAGAAAAGGAAGAGAACACTGTCTCTTTAGAACTACAAATCCCAGAAATCCATTTAGGATTCAGACTTCTGGCCTACCCACAGAGAAATATGAAAATCTGGTTAAATTGTATTTGTGTTTGTGTCTTATTCCTTTCCTAGATTGTAAGCTCCACCAGGACAAGGGCTATGTTTTTTCTTCTTCTTCAGACTAGGTCTCCCTAATTTATCAAGGCTGGAAGGGCAGGAGTTTCTTATAAGCAGCTTGGGAGTTTGTCTCTCCTGAGGCAACCTGGTAGGCTCTTGCACTCAAGAGCTCACCACATGGGTGTTTAGTATATATATTTAATTGGTTTAACCTATTGCAGCTTGAAACTTCCAAGATCTAGAAGTCCACCAGCCTCAACCTCCTCAGTAGCAGGGATTATAGGAGTCTGACTCCATTTCAGGCAAGGACCACGTCTCATATGAACTTTTTATTTCTTACAGCACCTAGCACAAGACACTGAACACAGAAGGCTATTAATAAATAGTTATTGAATTAATGAATTAATTAATCCCAAAATTATTAACATCCCTTTGCATTGAAATATTTACAACCAGAGGCATGTGTAGAGTTTGGGCTTGCCTACATATCCGGTCAATGCTCTCCACATGTCTTTGTTTACTACCCAAATATTTCTTTTTATATATTTCCATTCTGATGGCATTTTAAAAAAATTTATTTTTAATTTGTGGAATAAAATAAGCATTTCCATAACATAGTACAATAAATAATCATGATTGCACATGAAACTACAAATTTACTACGCACAACTTGCTATTCCTTTCAAATATGCAACAAAATTATCATGTAAATTTTTTCTTTCCTTCCTTCCCTAGAGATGACTACCATTAGACACAAATAGGGATATATGTAAAATTATTCTCCACATACTTCTATCTATCAATTCTTTCTCTGGATGCAGATAGCATCTTTCTTCATATGTCCGTTATAATTAATTTGGGTATTTATAATAGAATAACTTATTGACTCAAAGTTGTTCTTAAAACAATATTGCTGTTACTGTATATAATTTTCTCTTGGTTCTGTTCATTTTACTCTCCATTATTTTGTGTGTTTTTCCATGTTTTTCTAAAATCACTGAGCTTACCATTTCTTGTAGCACAGTAGTATTCCCACACAATCATATGCCACAAATTATTCAGCCATTCACCAATTGATGAACATCCCTGAAATTTCTAGTTCTTTGCCACCATAAAGAGAGCAATTATAAACATTTTAGAACATTTATGTTCTTTTCCTTTTTCCTTAATTATCTTCAGAAGTAGACCAAGTCAGTGGTATTGCTGGGTAAAAGGGTATAGGTAGCTTAATAACTCTTTGGGCATAATTCCAGATTGCTGTCCAAAATGGTTGGATCAGTTCACAATTCCACTAACAATGAATTAATGTCCCAATTTTTCCACATCCTCTCTAATATTTGTCACTCTCCCATTCTATCATTTTAGCCAATCTGGTAGAAGTAAAATGATATCTCATGGTTGTTTTAAATTTCATTTCTCTAATCAATAATGAATTAGAGCATTTTTTTGTGTGACTATAAATTGTTTTGATTTCTTCATCAGACAACTACCTGTTTATAACCTTTGACCATTTATCAATTGGGAAATTGCTTGGATTCTTATAGATTTGACAACATTATTTATATGTTTTAGATATGAGATCTTTATCTGATAAACTGTCTATAAAATTCCCCCCCCTTCCAATTTTCTGCTATTCTTCTGATCTTGGCTACATTTGTTTTATTTGTACAAAACCTGTCTAATTTATTGTAATCAAAATTATCCATTTTATACCCAACTTTGATCTGTATCTCATTAATTCATAAGTTTTTCACCTATCCATAGGTCTGATAAATAATATGTTCCATATTCTTCTAATTTTCTTGTAAAATCTCTCTTTATGTCTAGGTCAGGTACTTCATTTTCTTATCTTGGTAAATGGTGTAAGTTATTGATCTGTGCCCAGCTTCCAACACACTGCTTTTTAGTTTTGTCAATGATTTTTAACAAAATAATGAATTCTTATCCCAAAATCTTAAGTTTTTTATACTTATCAAATACAAGGTGATTGTGTTTATTTGCTACTGTAAATTTTATACCTACTCTATTCCACTGAGCTACCTTTCTATTTCTTAGCCAGTACCAGATAGTTTTGATAATTACTGCCTTATAGTTTAAGATCTGGTACTGCTAAAACTTCTTCCTTTACATTTTTTTAATTATTCCCTTTGATATCCTATACTTTTTGTTTTTCCAAATGAATTTTGTTATTTTTTTCTAATTCAGTAAAAAAAAATGGTACTTTAATTGGGATGGCATTGAATATATAAATTAGTTTGGGTAAAATCATTTTTATTATATTGGCCCTGCCTAATAATGAATAATTTATATTTCTCCAATTATTTAAATATGATTTTATTTCTATGAAAAGTTTTTTATAATTTTGTTATATATAGTTCCTGGGTTGTTTTGGTAGATATGCTCCCAGGTATTTTATACTGTCCAGAGGTATTTTAATTGGGTATTTTTTATTTACTACTTCTTCCTACAGAATTTTGTTTGTAACATATAAGAATGGGGATGATTTATTTGAATTTACTTTATATCCTGCTACTTTGCTAAAATTATTAATTGTTCCAACTAACTTTTTAGTTGAATCTTTGGGATTTTCCAAGCATATCATCATATTGTCTGCACAAAGAGATAGTTTTATTACCTCATTCCTATTCTGATGCCTTTTATTTCTTTTTCTTCTCTTATTGCTATTGCTAGGATTTCCAATAACATATTGAATAATGGTGGTGACAGTGGGCGTCCTTGTTTCACACCTGACCTTACTGGGAAGGCTTCTAGTTGATCCCCATTATAAATAATTATTGCTGATGGTTTTAGATAAATGCTTTTTATCAATTTAAGGAAGAATCCATTTAATTTTAATCAGTTTCATTTTCATGATTACTGAATATTTACCAGATCTTTTTACATGCTCTTTGATTTAGAGTTGAAAGGGACTTTAGAGGCCATCAAGTCCAAACCCCTCATTTCACAGATGAGGAAACTCAGGTTAAGTGACTTGCTCAAGCTCAGACAGGGAGTAAACTTCTTGGGTGGATTTGAATCCAAGCCTTCTTACATCAGAATCATTACTCTTTCTATTTACCATCATCTCTGATACATTTAAAAAAATCTTAGAAATACAAGGAAACTACTGATCATTAAATTGTATTTGGTAAGTCACTTACTCCTCACAAACTTGGTTTCTTCATCAGTAAAATAGGGATAATTCTTACCCTCGCTACCTCATATGGTTATGATGAGGCAAGTGCTTTGTAAACTTTAATACTATCCATAACTGTGAGTTATTATTGTAATAAGGGCTACCCTCTTCCCCCATATGTAGTATGGTGGTATCATATGGGGATTAAAGGGAGGTAGAGACATCTCTAGTCACTTCTCCCCCCAATCCTTCTCCAAGGGAGCCTTTGATTTCTGCCAGGAGGGGAAGCAGGAGGTTGAGACCAGAAGCTTGGCCATTTTGCTCTCCTCAGAGAGAGGGGGGGTACTGTACCAGAATGATATTTATCTGCTCCCTGACACATTATTAGCAAGGGATGTGGTTTTTAAGTTCCAGCTAACTTCTGACCATTGTTTCATTAATTAGGAGCAAGATCCTAAGCTTTATATTCATGGCTTGACTCCTTTTCCATCAAATATCAGTTCCACAATGAACATACATAGTGGATAGCATAGAGACTCATTTATCCAAATCCATAGCAAACAGAAATCAGAGAAAGTATATATAGGAAAATATATACCAGGCAACACAGAGTGAAAGAGCTTTCCCATTGTGAGCAAGGTGACTCAATGAGAGAGAGAGAGAGAGAGACAGAGGAGAGAGAGAGAGAGAGAAGAGAGAGAGAGAGAGAGAGAGAGAGAGAGAGAGAGAGAGAGAGATGGGGAGGAGGAAGGGAGGGGCAGAGAGAGAGGGATAGAAAGAAACAGGCAGAAAGTCAGAGAGAGACAGAGACACACACACAGAGATAGAGACAGAGAGACAGAGTCATACACAGAGACACACATACAGAGACAGAGACGAAGAGACAGAAAGAGACTGAGAGAGACTGAGACAGCTAGATCTCATCGAAAGGGAAGTTCCACAAAGTCTCTTGTGTATCAAGCTAAGGATAGGGATGTGTAAGAGGCTGCCAGTTCCTCTCAAGGTATCTTCTTCCCAGAATCTTTTCCTTCAGTAACCT